CAGGGGATGGGGACAGTATAGAAAACTGTGTACGAGGGGAGTGGGGATGGGGACAGTATAGAAAACTGTGTACGAGGGGAGTGGGGATGGGGACAGTATAGAAAACTGTATAGGAGGGGAAAGGGAATGGGAACAGTATCGGAAACTGTAGGAGGGGAGTGGGGATGGGAACAGTAGAGAGGGGAGCAGTAGAATGGGGGACAGGGGATGAGTACTATGTAGGAGACTGTATAGCAGGGGAGTGGGGATGGGGACAGTATAGGAAACTGTGTGTCGGGGCCTGGGGATGGGGACAGTGTAGGAAACTCTGTAGCAGGGGAGTGGGGATGGGGACAGTGTAGGAAACTGTGTGTCGAGGGTCTGGGGATGGGAACGGTATAGGAAATTCTATAGGAGGGGAGTGGGGATGGGGACAGTGTAGGAAACTGTGTGTCGAGGGTCTGGGGATGGGAACGGTATAGGAAATTCTATAGGAGGGGAGTGGGGATGGGGACAGTGTAGGAAACTGTGTGTCAGGGGCCTGGGGATGGGAACAGTGTAGGGAGGAGCAGTAGAATGGGGTACAGTGATGGGTAAGTGGGGGACAGGAGATGGGTACAGTACAGAGGGGAGAAGGATAGTGAGGGACAGGGGATTGGTGCAGTAAAGAAGCTGTATAGTAGGGACTGGAGATGGGTACAGTATAGAGGGGAGTGGTAGATTGGGGTACAGGGAATGGGTACAGTATAGAAAATTGTGTAGCAGGGGCCTGGGGTTGGGTACAGTGTAGAAAACCATATCAGGGGACTGGGAGTGGGTACAGTGTAGAGGGGAGCAGTGTAATGGGGGCCTGGGAATGGGTATGGTATAGAAGGGAGCAGAATAGTGGGGGACAGAGGACAACTACAGTACAGATAAACTATAGCAGGGGACTGGAGATGGGTACAGTACAGAGGGGAGGAGGAGAGGGGGGTACAGGGGATGGGTGCAGTATTGAGGGGAGCAGGATAGTGGGAACCTGGGGATGGGTGCAGCATAGAAAGCTGCATAGCAGGGGAGTGGGGATGGGTGGAGTGTAGAGGGGAAGAGTAGAGTGGGGTACAGGGGATGGGTGAGTATAGAGGGTGAGCAGGATAGCAGGGCTCTGGGTGTTGGTGCAGTATAGAAAACTATTGCAGGAGAGTGGGGATGAGTGCTGTGTAGAGGGGGAGCAGGATAGTGGGGGACAGGGGGTAGGTACAGCATACAAAACTGTATGTGCAGATGGGTACAGCAGAGAGGGGAGCATGGGGTACAGGGGATGGGTATGGTATAGAGGGGGAGCAGTGTAGCAGGGGCCCAGGGATAGGTACAGTATAAAAAACTACAGGAGGGTCAGGTCATGGGGGCAGTGGGGAGGGGGGCAGAGGAGTGGAGGCTCTGGGTGGGTGCAGAAAATGTGTAGCAGGGGACAGGGAGCAGGTACAGTATAGAGGGGAGCACGATAGTGAGGGATAGGGGATGGGGTCAGTATAGAAAGCTGTATAGCAGGGGATATATGGGGATAGTTGCAGCACAGAGGGGAGCAGTAGGTTGGGGCACAGGAGATGAGTGCAGTATAGGGGGGTGGACAGTGTAGAAAGCTGTATAGTGAGGACTGAAGATGGGTACAGGAGAGGGGTATGGTATAGAGGAGGAACAGTATAGCATCGCCCCAGGGATGGGTACACTATAGAAAACTACAGCAGGGGGCAGGAGATGGGTACATATAGAGGGGAGCAG